AATTGTCGGGATCCGTTTCAGCTGCGGCGTCTCAGTATACCGCGAGCTACAGCTCCCTATATACTGAGCCTAGGGTGACGGGAGGACGCTAGTTTGTGTCCTTCCGTTACCCTAAGGAGAACTATGGGGGAAAAGCCTTAACCCCATAGTTCTCCTTTAAACAGCTTCCCACCTGGGAGGCTCTGGCCACAAAGGGGGGCGGCCATGCTGCTCTGCCTATCATTACCCCACATGATCCAAAGAAATGCTGCCTGAGGCAACAGTGGGAAGGTGGGGGGATAGGTGTGCTCGTGATGGGGTGTTAGTTGCTTGTGGTGCACAGCATCCCACCCATCTCACTGACATCATTGGTTGCCAGGAGCTAGGCAGGACACCAGCCACAGCATCCCGCTCAGCTCCTGGGAACCAGTGAGGCCTGAGCGTTACAGGTTGCTAAGAGCTCTGAATGAGATGTCACCTGAGGCGACTTCCTCATTATAGGGTCGGCCCTGAGTACCGGGGTCTGATGATGACTGCACAGACTGGAATTGTCTAGATGTAGTTACGAAAGGCAACAACGGACACATACAAATCTACATGCTACACACAGAACCAAAACAGATCCAGAAGACGTTACCTTCTCCATGTCTATTAATAAGACCGGAATATTCCTTCCCACCACCACAATGACCGTCCGACCGCAGTTATCCACTCCTGAAAGAGGAACACAATTCTACGCTATACAGCAATGCTGAAAAAAGTAGATGCAAAGGCTATAAAAACACAAAAAGGTACTTAAAAAGGAGAACTATGGGGTCAGGGCTTTTCCCCATAGTTCTCCTTAGGGTAACGGGAGGACATAAACTAGCGTCCTCCCGTCACCCTAGGCTCAGTATATAGGGAGCTACAGCTCGCGGTATACTGAGACCGCTGCAGCCGGAGCGAATCCCGACATTACTGTTGAGATCCGCCCAGTTGCGTGAACAGCTGGCTCTGCCTATCTAGAGGCAGGGCACGCAGTACCCACCCCCTCCCCCGTCCGTTCCGCCAGTCAGTGCTGGAGGATCGGAGCGTTAACCCTGCAGGGAATGATGAGTGACAGTCACAGCAGGGACAGGATCGAGAAGTGAGCGAGCGCCGGTATGTCTTCGCTCACTTCCCGATCTATTGAGCCGACCTGTGACAGTTTCATTGCCACACGTCGGCTTGAACAATGAGGTTGAGTTAAAATCACTCACCTCATAGTTCTCCTTTAAGTAATTACTTTTTTTTTTGAAAAATTCTTTTTATTGAAGTTTTATACAATTAATACAATTAACAACATTTGCTCACACAACCGTGCGAGCACACAATAGGTGCAACCCCTCCGCCCCCCCCCCTTGCAGAGTTCGCTGTCGTTGACTACACTCCGCCCCCATCAGGCAAGGCAGAATCCGTCATAGTGGAGAAGAGAAACGGAAAAGATAACTGGATAAAAGCAAAAAAAAAAAATTTTAAATAAAAAAAATACTGGCACAACCGGAGCCAAGAAGAAAACAACATTGTGATCGTCTCCAGCCTCCTTTGGGACCGTTGCCTCTCTTACCGGACCTAGATGGCATCTCCCCCTGCTCCGGACATCCACCGGAGCTTAGGTGAGTACAACAGGAGCCGAATCTACAGGATGGACGCCGGATAAAGGTCAGTGCAGCGGCGGAGCTCCCTCAGTCACGTCCGCGCTGCTTCACATCCCGGCCACGCCCCCCTTAAGTAATTACTTTAAACCATTTACGTTTATTACGGTTTTAAAAAACTCCTATGCAAATGCCATTTTTGAATGCATTTGGTTGCAGTCACATGCGCCCTGATATCACCAAACGGAGGCAGGAAGGAGCGGAAGGTACCTCAGGGCGCAACAGTGTGGCTGCAGTCCACGAGGACGGCAAGCAAGGGAGTTATGTGAATTTCTGCATCCCCGGCATCTCATACAAGGTCTTCTCCTATTGGTACGGCTGACCACACATTCGTTAGATGCACAGCCCCATCTAGTGGCACAAGTCGTGAAGTACATCCCAGTCATGCCGGAAAGCATCCAGAAATGCTGCGATAGAACAGCAGACCCCAGGAGGGTGCTCGATCTTTCAAAACAAAAAACTTTTAGAACAGAGACATGGGAGCGTCCATTAAAGAACTCCTGCAAATGCTAGTTACCTGGCTGTCATAATTAACACTTCGCATGACTGAAAAAAACATTCAGCAAGTAATTACTGAGAGAAGCCAAATCTCCCAATCTACATTCATGTTTCAGGTTACTGAATTACAAAAGTATTGAGGTTATTGAATCAGCAGGGCACCTAGCATGTTCAGAAGGACGGGTCAGCAATGGCAGCATACAGATCCCTTCATGGCTTGTCTGTCTCAGGCTATCTTTAGCACCATAATCCGGTGTGCCGTGCCGCATTGGCTCCGGGGGGACCTGTGAAGATTTTTTAAAGGCTATAGGAGCTACACAACTGTACCCACACTTACCAGACTGGTATAAAGCTTTGAGTGCAGCGATGTCAGACAGGTCCTCAGTCCTCGCCCGAGACAGCCAGCGGTTATAACTAGACAAACAGCACACAGGAAAGAGCATTTATTATGACATCACAGCTAGCCAAGGGCTGGCCGCACCAATTATGACCTTTTGATTGATAAAACCTATGCGTTTAGTCATTCCAACTTCTTAAGGCGCTTCAGGGCATGCTATGACCCAACTTTAGCTTGGAGGTCTTTTACCTTTCGGTAAGTGATGTTCTCATAGATGGATGGTCTCAGAAGCTCCGGAGAAGACACGATTAAAAGGAGAACTATGGGGTCAGGGCTTTTCCCACATAGTTCTCCTAAGGGTAACGGGAGGACACAGACTAGCGTCCTCCCATCACCCTAAGCTCAGTATATAGGGAGCTACAGCTCGCGGTATACTGAGACGCCGCAGCTGAAGCGGATCCCGACAATTGTGCCGGGATCCGACCAGCTGCGTGAGTGACAGCTGGCTCTGCCTATCTAGACGCAGAGCCAGCTGTACCCGCCCCCTCCCCCGTCCGTTCCGCCAGTCAGCGCTGGAGGATCGGAGCGGGGGGAATCCAGTCCCTCCTCTGTCATCAGGGCATGCTATGACCCAACTTTAGCTTGGAGGTCTTTTACCTTTCGGTAAGTGATGTTCTCATAGATGGATGGTCTCAGAAGCTCCGGAGAAGACACGATTAAAAGGAGAACTATGGGGTCAGGGCTTTTCCCACATAGTTCTCCTAAGGGTAACGGGAGGACACAGACTAGCGTCCTCCCATCACCCTAAGCTCAGTATATAGGGAGCTACAGCTCGCGGTATACTGAGACGCCGCAGCTGAAGCGGATCCCGACAATTGTGCCGGGATCCGACCAGCTGCGTGAGTGACAGCTGGCTCTGCCTATCTAGACGCAGAGCCAGCTGTACCCGCCCCCTCCCCCGTCCGTTCCGCCAGTCAGCGCTGGAGGATCGGAGCGGGGGGAATCCAGTCCCTCCTCTGTCACGGCTCTCTGCCGTGACAGGATCGAGAAGTGAGCGAACGCCGGTATGTGTTCACTCACCTCCCGATCTACTGAGCCGACCTGTGACAGTCTCATTGTCACAGGTCGGCTCAGATTATGAGGCTGAGTGAAAATCACCCCCCTCATAGTTCTCCTTTAAGAGATGATTTACATCACTTCATGGGGCTGTTGTACACTTTTGGACATTTTTTTTAATTAAAGAGCATTGGGATTTTATAACTATAACCCTTGCAGTGGGGCTACCCCTACAGTGCAAGAGTTAAGCGCTCTTTTTGGTTTAGGAAAACAAAACAAATGATAAACGCACTCATCAACTCATAACCAGCTTTAAAGCACGATGCACATGGAAGGGCTTTATACAATACAACAGCAAAAGGTTTCCCAGCACACTCACCGGCCAGCATGCAAAAAAAAAAAACCTGTCTAACCGCTAAAGTTAAAAACAGAGGTCTTAGATACACGTCTTCTGCAGAATATGTGAAATCCGCACAGCCGCGTCAAGGCACCTCTACTATGTAGTGCGGTTCTAACTCTAACCAATGAGAGTCTCCATCTTGGAGCACATGGGGCAAAAGATAAAATCCTGGCGATCCTGCACCCAATTTTATCTTTTGCCCCATGTGCTCCAAGATGGAGACTCTCATTGGTTAGAGTTAGGACCGCACTATATGGAGGAGCCTTGACGAGGCTGTGCGGCTTTCACATATTCTGCAGAAGACGTGTATCTAGAACCTCTGTTTTTAACCTTAGCGGTTAGACAGGTTTTCTTTTTTGCATGCTGGCTGGTGTGCTGGGAAACTTTTTGCTTTTTGGTTTAGGGGCACAAATGAAGATATAGTCACCCAATCCTTGGACCTATGGCAACCAGCGCTAACCTCTCTGCCCACCCTCCCCTCCGCGTCCTCATGTCTAACGCAAGTCAATGGACCTGCATCATCGGTTTATTAGACTGAAGGAGCCCAGAGGAGGATGCAGCTAAGTGGGATCGAGGATCAGGTGAGTATCTCCCCCCCCCCCCCCCCACACAACGAAGTCTTCAGACATGAGAG